TTGTGCTGGCAAACTAGTTCAAGCACGAAAGCAGTTGGTCACTAACATCAATTTGGGAAGCAAATACTGCGCTGCATTGTTTGTCATGTTAGCTTACGTAACTTCAGTCATATTGAGGCATGGCTAGTCTATACCATTATGCAAAATAAAATAAGGGATGGATGTTCTGCAACTATATTTGAAAAGAAGTCAAGAAAAAAAAGCAACTTGTCGTCAGACGAAGCTCCAGCCAATAGTGTCGCTGTGTCGTTGTGACCCTGCTGAGGACTGCCTTCGTGCCTTGCTCATGAGAGGAATCACAAAGCAGTGTGTCAAAGCATGCCACGAAGTGGCCACAACACCATTCGCTGCAGGGTGGTCCTGTGACGGCAAAAAGCCACTTTTCTCATGAGCTGTATCCGAGTATGGTACACCCAAACGTCATTATAAAAAAGCTGCATCTTACGCGAAAATAAGTTTGTTATAATCGAAAATTCATTATAAAGGTTTACTTCAAACACCATATCTTTTGCAAGACTATTTTTAATTTACTTTGTTATAACTGGTATTTTGTTATATGTGGGTTCGTTATATTGAGATTTGAGTGTATGAGAAAAGACATTCAAGCCGCAACACTCTTCTTTATTCGCACTCTAACCAGAGTCCCGCTGGTCAGGCCAAAGCAGTGATGATGGGTTTTTCCAGATGAAAAGCTGAAGCGCATGAATAATGTTTACATTTTTTTTTCCCGAGAGACAATTGCGTATCACCTTTTTATGCCACAACTTGTGCTCCACTGAACTGTAGTAAACTGTAGGAGCTTCTGTTGCGTGGTACAGAGCTGTAATTTTAATATGGCTTGTATTTCAGACCCTGGATTTGGAGACTTTTTTGTTTTGGACACTAGCCACTTGGAGATCTGCAAGCCACATCGATGGTCATCATTCAGCTACCAGCTACTGTTGGATTTCTTAGACCATGCGTTCTCCTCCATGAGCCAGGATGCCTATTGGGCTGCACATAACCCAACCTTAAGTCGACTGCGCCAGCTGGAACTTTATTTTGAGACAGGCGTATTCCAGTTTTAAGACACTGAATTGTGCATCTTGAGAGCACACTTTTAGTGTTTCCACAGAGGATTTCATCGTAATTAAAGAGGTTACTCTTGCATGTGCACGAAACCTAGCACTGGGTAAACTGCATCATACAGAGCTGTATTCTGAGGCTGGTGTCTTCCAAGACGATAAATCCCCTTTGTGAAAACAGTTTTAAGATTTTTCCATAGCATTTTGTTGCGATTGAAAAAGATTATTCTTGCATGTGTACAGTACATATATATATATATATATATATATATATATATATATATATATATATATGACATTAAATATTAGTCTTTCTCCACAACTTCAGATTTTAACTCTATCACACTTTCCAGTTACAGTCGACTTTCGTAGATTCTTTTTTGGCTGAAGGTTCCAGCTAGTGTCCATATTTTAGTTGTTTCAATCCTAAAATTTGCCTTTCTTAGACAATGGAACCTGACCGATCAGAATGCATACAACTGATGACTGAAATCACGACCCCTTCAACTGCACCACCTATTTTGGCTTAGACACTAAAGGTAATACTAAGTTGATGGGGATTGTCGAAATAGCCTTCTAAAAACCTTGTAGTGCTTGTTTTGTCCCAAGAAAATTTAGTTTGAAAGAAATTCACATTTCAGTGGTCTGCAAAACATTTGTGCAGTTGTAACCACCCACCTCACAAAAAGGGCTTGTCAACTAGCATCCGCCATGCCCGCTGTTCACTGCCCAACAGCCCGCGAGGTGGAACACAGCCCAGTAAAAACGTAGCTTTCAGACCAACTGTGTTGTTCTCAAGAGTAACCATCAAGAAGTTCTTTCAATTAATCAAACTCAAATACACAAGTTGCATTTCAGTTCTTAAATGAACTTCATGTTCTTTTTTATCATGAATATCTAGTTAGAGTATACTGTGAAATCCCGAGCAAGTGCCCCCTTCCCTTCTTCGGGAGATTTCAAATATGGTGCCTCTTAACCCACTTCCCACCATTTTGACAGTTTCATTCACTGTTTTTATTCGCTCGACGAACGAGAATAAAAACAGCAAATGCACTGGTATTCAATGAAGCATTTAATTAGAAGCACAAGTGTGCATTCTTTATTCTTAACGGCTCTTCCGCTGCCATGTTAAAATTTGTCCATGACCAAGCAAGGGCCCCCTTAAAATCATGTCGATTTATTCATCAAACTTGGAGGGGGGGTTGCTTGCTCAAAATTTTAGGGTATTTGATTAAATATACTAAGGGCCTTCTATGTCATCATTTCTTGTTCCAGAATGTCCCCCTGATTGTGCAAATCATATCCTACATTTGCCTAAATTTCTCAACACTACAGCACTACAGTGCATAATATTGAGGTTTTAGACATTCTCAAGGATTAATCTTTTATTCTGACATCAGATTTTAATTGCCTTTAGTTTCCCCTCAAGACGGTGAATATGTAGGACACATGCCATTACCTTTCAAAATGCCCATTTTCAGCCAGGATAAGTTGTGAAAGTGAGAAATGTAGCCCACAATGAAAAATTAAACCATGCAGCTCTAATGTGCATATCATTCTTAATTTGTCATTAAAGAATTTGGTTGAAATGGACCTTCATGGTGCAATAAAATGCAGTTGGTGTAATCAGAAAACTAATCACAATCTCTATGCTTGTAACAGGGCGTTCTTTTTTAGACAGTACAGATCTTTATACAAATCCTATGACAGTAACACTCCTATCGTTTTCACATGCCAACTCTACGTCGAGCTGTAATGATACTGTTTTGTCTAAGGAAAAAATTATTTACTTTAAAATTATTGACTTGAGGGCAGTTTATCGTAGAAAGTTGTAGTGCATGACAATTTATGACAATTTTTTAGATATTATAAAAGTTGCACATAGTTCAAAATAGTCATCATCAAATCTTCAAGGTGCGATCAAAAACCAATTGCACCTAGTTTGCATGAAACGTGACCATGACTGCTCAGGACAGGGAAGTTTTGTAATTTGAATGAAGGCATGTCATGGCCGTATCTTTCAGTGAAAAGCAGCAAGTCACCTGACGTGTGCCAGCAGATCGTCTTATCTTTACATGTGATATTTGGTGCTTATCCGTTTCTTTTGATCTGTGAACACTAAAACCACAATTATCAACCTTTTCTGGCTCTGTGCAGAATAATGCCCCGAGGCAGCCTCTGTGGTGGTGCTCCTCGCACACAGGCGAAATAGTATTTCGTGCCTGTTTTATACTTTGTGTAAAAAAAAACAACAGGTAAGCATCACACATCACACCCAAAGAATAAGTTGTCTACTTAAGTAATTGAGAATGCTAGCAGATTTTCGTGACCAGATTGAGCTTTGGCATGCCTTGATTCAAACTTTATCACTTCCTTGTCACGTGTAGTTCTCGTCTTGCATAACCAAAAGGCCGCGTTTCCCACGCACCAGACTCCTCAAGCTTTTATTTCATCCGAATAATTCGATGATAAATATGTAAACTTGCACGCTACTTTCGTGATCTCTAAAAAATGGGTATACCATAAATTAGCATAGATGAACAACTTTTTAATGTAAAAGGCTGCCCACAAAAGAATGATTGAAAAACAAAGTAAGAAGTTTTTGTCAATTATAGTCGTGTCAATTTCATTTTAGTTCTGATAAAGTATTTCCACTTTGTCATAGAGTTCGTGAACAAAAGCAACACTACCCCCGAGTGTCATGGAACTTTATGAAACGTCTGAATTGCCTAAAAAAGAACACCCTGCAGAGCCAATGTAACTAGAACCATGGACATTGCTTTGTCCATCTGAGATGGAGATAGAAGCTTGTGCAGTTTTCACATAGTGTGAAACAACAAGCAACACGATTATAAAATAAAGATATGTAAAGATAAGTCATTTTAAATGTTAAGCTTGCGGCAACAAGTCGCATCATGTTTTTGGCACTTCGGAGAATTGCGTGCATCGCAGGACTAGCTTTGCAATAGGCAATAGAAACCATTTAATTTGCTATTGTTGCTTCAGAAAGGCACTGTCGGATAAGCAAAAAAAATAATTTACAAAAGATAGGTTTTAAAATGCAGTAGCAATGATAAGCATTAGGAATTAGAAACATGCAGCATTCCTAATGCTTATGACAAACATTATAAAGTTACGATTATAAGGTACTACACACAAACTACATTGGTTGGTTACATAGTTGGGTGCACAGCAGATTTACAAGGATCTGTCCGTAAAAGCCAATTCTACTTCGAATACTTAGAAAGCCGTGAGGTGTTCATTTGTGGGGCATGTTAAAATTTTACATTTCCCACCATATAAAACATCCGTATCTTTTGGCAAGTGGTTCCTGCTTCATTAAATTAAACTGCTGCATGATAAAACAGAATAGGGTTTGTCAGTGTTTGATTAATGGCTTCGTGAACAAGTTGTCATAATGGGCCACTTATTTTGCATGGAACATGAAGTTATCAGTATTTAATGGAGATTCATTTCCTTGCATGCTGTACAGTTGTTAGTGCTTGCATGTAATCCAGTGTTGTAGATGATCAAGTGCTGTTCGTACTGCCGTGACTCATGCATCGAACTTCAATGTTCAAAACTCGTTCTTCATGTGCCCCTCACTTTTTCTTTTTGCTAAGCTGTGTAATGCAGGGAAGCACCCTGCACCATTTAGTTTACTGTCATATCAATTCAGCTTTCATTCCATGTAGCTTAGCAACAATGTAGAAGTGGCGAGATGCTTAGAGCATCACAAACGGAAGTACTAACAGACACCTAGAACAGTGTGAATTTGTGAATTAAAATGTATGGTTTTTTCACTATATAACATCAATGGTGCTGGCTAAACCTGCGTGATATGGTTACTGCATGCAGGTTTGGCTTTTGTGTGCACTTATTCTTTTCTAAGTGATGGTGTTGGGTTAGCTACTGAGAAATATTAATTAGACAGCATAGAGCAATCAATATTTAATTTTGCATATGCTGTAGTAAAAGACATAAGTAGATGACCATTCTTTTGCATATAAGAAGCACACATCAAGGAAAATATGTGAAATGCACGGAGAAGATCTGGGAGAGTTTGAGATATCATCACTGATAGGCCCCACTCCTGGCCAAATGGCTGAATCAGGCAGAAACATTGGTTTTGCCCCCTTCAGTCACCAACTTCATTAGGCTACCATTCACTGGTCTCTCTTGACCGGTGGTCCACTTGAAGAACAACCTGTGCAGAAACGAGGTAGAAAGATTTCATCACACAGTGTAATAGCAGAGTTAAAAATTTGTTGTGGGTATGAATGGGCAACACTCAGATTTATTTCAATAAACATTAATGTTGTAAATGATAACCAGATTGCTTAATTGTCCACAAGTAACAGTTTCCTGGGCATAAATTATACATCTGAATGTATTTGAAGCTAGTATAAGGTTCATGCACTTACTCAGCCACAAAGTTTAGGGGAGTCCAAGAGGAGAAGTCTGCCTTGGGCATGAACTTCCGATTCATCGGAGTGTCCAGGGTCACAGGAAGTATAGCCACCACAGTTGAATTTTGTGGCAGCCCGCTCTTGTCAGCAGCCAAGCTCTGCACAAGGTGGTGCACGGCCGCCTTTGCCATGCCATAACCAATCATGCCTGAGAAAGGAAATAATGTCACAAGCTCATTCAAGTCTCTTGATAGCTGATGAGCTGTACATAGAAAACCTGCTCCTGCATGTTGTCTTTGGCACCACTGAAGTCACGATATTTTGTAGTAAGGAATGATAATTCATTTCAACACAATAACCTGCATGTCAGACAGGCAAATGTGCACGAATCTTTAACACATCATCTTCAGCTAATAATACCAGAGAACTACACTTTTTAAGGAGGCACTAGCAGACCAACATGCAATATGACAGGTGATTTAGTAAAGGTTTTTGGATTCAGCTGAGAGAACTGTAGCTTTTTTTTATTGAAGATGAAGGGAAAACAATTTTCACTTGCTGCCAACATTTCTATACAGGGCTCTCCATCTGGGTTGACATGGCTACCTCCTAGGTTCCACTGGAATATCTTTTAAATGAAACTGTGCACACTCATTTGTAAAGTGTAAACAAAGAAAGTCGCTACAAACCAGGTGTGGGCTCGAGAGCAGCCTTGGCTCCAGTCAGTGCAAGCAGACCACCATCTTTCAAGTGCTTTGATGCAAGGCTAGAGGCAATCACTGATGTCCAAACACTGGACTTCCAAAGAGAATCACAGTTCTTCACATAGTCTAAAATATAAAGAAAAGTGGCTTTAGAGGCAATGCATAGTAGTACATTTAGAACAGTAACAATGTGATAAGAGCATGGCCTTAATTCTGAATTCACTGGCCATTCTAATTGTGCAAGTACAATGGCTTCTGTGCTGGCAGAGCAAGATTCAACCACATGAGGAAAAATTCAGGGGAACAATAACAAATGCAAAGGTATTTCGTTTTTCCCCCTCCATATCTGGCAAAGGCTGTCCATGATTGGTCAACACCTTCCAGGCCACTCCCACAGTGCTTGTTTCTTCAAAGGCAGCGAAAGTGCCCCAGTGCATTAGTATGCCAAATAAAATTAACTTTTCTAGGAACAGCCCCAGAGTGCCCTGTTCCAAAAGAAATAGAATATGGCTGCTTGCATATTTTTCTTGGACTCTGTTTCACTGCTGGTGGCCAGAGCTACTTATCTGTGTATCAAATTTTGTATTTTTTATAACGGCCATCAAGCAGTTTCTCTCAAAATGGAATTCGCCACCTTCCCATTTTGTAAGAGGGATTCATGCTGGAATTCCACAGATATGCACGTTGGCTCAGCATAGTACAGCACATTATTTTTCTCTTTTTCTGGGTACCTAGTTGGGTACTGTTGCTTTAAAGGATACAGATAATCACAATTCGATATCCACGTGTCCAAATTTGTCTTGGCACAATAAGGACAAGCTGCTTTCACGAAGCCCTGAGAAGTGGCCCCGCTTGTCTAGTCATATTCGCAAAACGAGCGAACGAAAATGACTGAGTACTGCAAGAGCACTCTTAAGCGTCGGGCGACAACGGCCCTATAGATCATATTCAAAGTCATTTCAGCCTAATATATTTTTTTGTACTGAATCTTAGACACTTAAAAAGATCAGGAGTATGCAAATGGATACCATCACATTTTGAGACAGCCATTCAATTTTTCGGATTCACAATTTTTCTGCATTTGTATTTAAGGGCAGGGAGTCACAGTTTTGCAAAAGCTTTTTTCATTGATGTAATCTTGGGGCTGAGGAGGTTATTATAATTTGTTGTTAGGCTAGTTGGTGCATGTTACAAGAAAATTATATGACGCAAACCACCGGGGAAGAATAAGCGAAAGAGCGTCACATAGAAGAAATATACTGCAGTAAAACTTACTGCGCTAGTTGGTGCAAAATTGTAACTTGCACCAACTAGAATAGAAATCGTAGAACTAAAAATTGCAGCATGCACCAAAAGCGTGCTAGAATATTCTAACAATTTAAAGTAAATACGCGCTGCAGCGCAAGCAAAAAAAAAAAAAACATTGCTACCGAGAACAACTTTTAACCAACTTGCCGACGTGGCTACAGTCCAAGCCGAAGATAATTGGCTTTCCACGTCTAAACATATTCACGGCGCGTCACTGAAAGCTTCCCGTCGCTCTTTCTTTTTTTTTTTAAATGCTTCGCTCTTTCTTTCTTTTTTTAATGCTAGCTGGGCCCCAGTAAATAGTAAATGATCGATCTGGACTATGCGTCAAAAAGAAGGAAAAAAAAAATCCGAGCAGCACAAACACTTACCGGCGGAAGCTGCGTTTCCCCCGGCCCATCCGCCGGCTACACATATGAGAGCATCGATCTTGTCATCCTTGAGCACCTTGGCGACTCCCTGGAGCACCAGTTCGTGTTGGTTGGTCCACGCTTCGCAAGACTGCACCACCACATTGGCGTCGGCCTCTTCGTTCGGAAAGTGGTCTACGGACGCAACCCACTGTGCAAAAAAAGTTGAAAATGGCTCACAACGATTAAAAGATAAAAAGAAACATGCAAGCTAAAATGCATTGAAAGGAAGCCAGGTCCAGAATGCGGAAAGCACACTAAAAAATACATGACGCAATAATTGAAACTACTCTCTCTGGATGCCTTGGAAAACACCTGTTGCGTGGACGCACGAACTGTAAAAGTGGGTGCCGATTCAAACCAGTAAAATTTAAATTTATTCGCGATGTCGCCAAAAGCGGAAACACGATCCCTTCACAAAGTGATAAGGCCTTGAAACGTCTAGACGTCTCACTGATAAAAAGACCAGCCACCGAAAAGAGTTCATATAATCGGTAGTTTAAAGAACACGCACTGCTTACCCACTGTTTCTGCCTAAAAAAAGAGACAATCGCGCTTCCGAGCGCGCCTTTTCCTCCGTAGACGACGACTCGACCTGCCGTAGCCATCGTTTCTTCAGGAATGTCGAGATAATTACTTGGTGGTCAGGATGAGGAAGGACGAGCCTTTAAGCACACGCCACCCGCAGGGATGCCTTGGAGCGACTGGCGGAGTCCGTCGTCGTGGGGACAGCGATTACGACGATTGCCGCGATCGTTGCGACCCCAGCTATGCCCTACTATCAGTCCGTCAGACGCACGACTGTCTTTCAAAGGTTATGACACTGTTACCATTACACCCGCAGTAAACATAAATGCATACTTCGGACCCAGTCTCTGAATGCTAAAAACGAACACCGCTAAAAGATGGGCCAGCGGTTTTGGTTGTCATGGCAATTGTGACAAGAAAAAAACGTGGAACTAAGCGCAACCCGCGCCACCACAGTGCCAAAAAAAAAAGAAAATAAAACGTACCCAAACTTAATCGTGCAAGAAAACACTACGAACGCATTCCACAAATATTTCAGCAAATAAAACATTTTCATTGATAAGCGAAAATTCGGAGTGCAGTTAATCTGAAACGAATAATACAGTCTAGAGTTTGACGATATACGTGTTGTGTAGTTTGGCCACATTGCTAAGTAAGGCAGAAAGAAAAGAAAGGTGTACACGATGCATTGGGGGTTTCAGCTGGTGTGGTGGCGTATTTAACGTGAGGTTGTCACAGCACATTTTTGTGATTTCTATCGATACCTAGTTGTCGTGACGGACGCTGCACCCTTGTCATTTCTCTCCTAGATCGATGTTTTGCGTACACTTGTCCAGATGGCTAGCCTAGGCAAAAACGATTCAAAGAGACTCACTTCGCTGTTGCTACAGCCACCAAACTCAAGCTTCTCGTGGAATGACGTGCCCAGTGGAAATATCCTCATGCCAGTGACTCAAATGGAACCAGGAACAGAAGGTTTGCTCACGCATGATAGTCTGATGTGAAGCGGTGACGTTTTAAAGCTGTTGTATCTCACAGATGTTGGGGAAACCACTTGCAGTTCTACTTTCTCGGTGTTACGTTGATATCCACGTTCGACAGCGTTTTGACATACTGAATTCAAACTCGAGCGCGAAGACTGTGCACAAATTTGCAAAAACTGTAGCAAATTAGTGCTGCCATACTGATTTGACTTTATACTAAGTTTCTCCCCAACATTAAATTGTGCACGGACGGAAATCAGTGTTGCGCTGAAAATGGCTGTTTTCTTGTTTATTAACTCTTGGATCATAGTGCGGTTTATTCGAGCGCAGCATAGATAAAAATATATCTCTACGTGTTTGACATTGTCGATTTACATTTTATGAGTACTGGGGTAGGTCAGCAGAACAGTTTTAGATTTTCTTTAGAAGCGCTATTCTTCACTCTGTTGGGGGAGACAGCAGGACACCAGAGTGTGCCGTCTCGTCTGTGCGTTGTGAAAGCGCAACTTTGTGAAAACAACTTGTCGAACAGCCCATTGTTCGAGCTACAAATGGTCTACTACAGAGCCCTTGCATCTACAGGAAGGCTATTTTGGTTGAAGTGACGTACCTCACGTGAAAAAAAAAAAAATCATAGAAGCTTTAGGAATTGATAATCTGTCCATGGATTTCAGAGTTTTGCATAACTGTTGGTCTGTATAGAATTATGCACAGATATTAACTCGGTTCACTTAACCTGCATAATTAGTAGATACGCTATACCATTCTTCTCAGCTATTTGTAGAAGTGCTGCTCTACATATGTTAAAAATCTGCTTGGCAATCAAACAACTTGCTTCTTGCTAGCAATCTGTGCTGCAATTCCACTGCTAGCTGTTTTGTTGAAGCGAGTAAACTCTAGATGCTCCTCATCACTGACAGTTCATGTTCCTGTGCACAGAGACATGCATTTTGCAAACATAAGGCTCCAATTTCAGAAGTAAGTGCCAGCAGTACCATGCCTATTTCTCCAGTTCAGCTGTAGCAGCTCGGATCAATTTGTTTTAGTACCAGATTTCTACAAGTAAGTATCTTATGAACAGTGCGTAATTGGAGGCACTTCTGACAAACAGCCGTGCAAAAAACAAAAAGTACGATTGCTGATTCAGTGCTTATCCTTGTGTTTGTTCTGCATGTATTTTTTTTTTTTTGCCCTCCAGTTTGTCATAATTATGTGTAAGCAAGTGCAACTTGTCAATTAAATTGGAGACAGCTCATATAGAAGTGAATTAGCATGGATGAATGCCTTTCCTCATCATTATATTCTTTTGTGTCTCTAGATGTGTTCTGTCCATAAAGTAAGCTTAACCAGCTGACCCAAATTCAAACTTGTTTTTACAAAGGGCCTAGCTATAGGAGTTATATGTTGCTACTTTCTTGCTGTCTCTTTCTTTTTACAAGTACATATATATAGCCGCAAGATAAATTGTTTTATTCTCGCTGTCTTATAGGCATAGGCATATCAGCCGGTGGGGCAAGGGGGTGCGATCCCCCCCCACTGAGGAAATTTGGGGGGGGGGGGGCTGAGCCCCCCCACTTTCGACAGTGGTCACTCTTGGCTGCACGCTGGGGAAACCAACAAATAAGGCAAAGTTTTCTGTCACAACAATAATTCAACTAAATTCTTACGGGAGGATGAAAATGTTACGAGGCAATGTTACGTCATAGTGAAATTTTGCCAACATTTCCGCTGTGATGACTTTACTTGCAGGTTATTTGCGGTGCGGGTCACCTATGCGATGTTTTCGCGTCTTGTCCTGTAGTATTGCAGAGCAGGCAAGTGCTTAACAGGGGCCCTATAATAATACATCACTTTTTCGTACTTTTATTCTGCCGTGACTTGTTGATACAGTTACGGTTTGAAACGAGCAAACTTTTTATGGACTGGCCAAATGATTTGTGGCTTCCTGTAAATAATTTTCTCTAAACGAATATATCATCACCGCTGCTCTGTCGATGCTGTTGCGAGCCAATGAGTGTGACGAATCGTTTCCGCACTGAAACGCCCAAAATTGTTTCCGCTTTAGTCTCTGATAAATCTGATCAGCCTTGCTTATGGTAACTTGGTAGTTGGAACTATAGCGGCAGTAAAACGCGGAAATGGAATGCGCTTTTACAGAGGTAATTGAATACTTACTGTACATTGATAAACGAGGGTTAGCCGAATGTATTTTTTGGTATATGGCTGCTGTCGCTGCGTTTAACGTGTATATATGTATCCTCGTTGATGCTTGGTACATCTCCATTCTGACGACTAACATTCATGATAAATTTAATAAACAAGCTTTTGTGGTATCTGTAGATGTTAACTGCCAAAGCATAATCAGAAAGAGAGAGACAGGCGTGATAGCTAGATGAGCTTCGCATATTGGATGCGGGAATTGGGCTAAGGGCACCATTCCTCAGCCTGGGCTTTTTAAAGTGTGTTTGAACTTCGTGGTATCTAAGAAAGCGCGTTTTGTCACCTCTGTGTATGCAAATTCATATCAGAGTGCGAGCTCGCCGATGAAATTCTCTCTCGATATATACACACACACACACACACGAATGAGGTAGGTCTGCCCCCCCCCCCCCCCCCCCTCTCGCGAAAGAGTTGTATGCCACTGCTTATAAGCAAGTTGCTTACATCATTTTTATTTTGCCAACTAAACATCAGGTGATATAGAAGTGTTATTGTTGCCCTTGGTGAACTTATTCCTCTTGAACTGAAGGCTCCAGCTCTGAGGCATTGCCACTTGCTTTTGCAGATTGTGCTGATGCAGATACTTTCCTGGGTCAAGAGCCAAATAAGGCGCAGCACTTTCCCACAGCACCCGAAAAGGTTGGAGCCAGTGGGGCTGATTCTTTGCCATCAGGACCATTCTCGCAGCTGCAGCAGCCTCTGCGACCACCACCAGCTCAGATGCAGGCACCACCACAAGCACAGTTTGCTGGTGCACCACCAGTGGCTCCTACAGAGAATGTTTCAGCAGGGCCTGACACAGCCTTCCAGATGTCGCAGCCAATGCCAGATCAAACAAGCTCTGCTCTCGGACCTCCTCCCATGGGTGAGTTGACAGGTGCCTGTGAAAAAAGCCCACCTTGTGCTTCGTATGTGATTTCTTAAGACTGCAGCTTTAATGAGCTATGTAATCATTAAATGAGAAATCGTTGAACCTGGAATGTAGTTGGTGCTATGGGGTGTGAAGTTGCTACCCTGACGAAGACAAGTCCTCTCGCCGTAACATATATTCTGGAGACGTCTTCTGTTCACTGACTTCTGACCACTTCCATCTTCCCCTAAACTTTTGTTTTGTTTGGGTAATCACTTAAGAGAGCGTGACATACAGATGTAGCATATTAAGCTGCTCAATTGTTTACCCCCACCCCCCAGTCCACCCGTCACTCATACAGATTGCAACTAGAAACAAGTTTTCATAAGTCTCAGATTCTTGTGGCTGATATTTAGGGTGTGTACTATTAGTTGGTAGTAGCAATAGCATTAGAATCAATAATAGAAACAACTGTATGAGAGACATTGTCATAACGAGATGCAATTACCTCAATGACTTTTATGCATGCCATAGCAGATAATGAAGTTCCCTGATTTCATGACAAAACATTGCATCCATGGTTTGTGCTTTTGCTGACATAGGCCACTAAGCATACAGAAGTCTGTGTTCTTTCCAGAAACCTGTGTCCTGCATTTCACTTTGTTTGTTAGTTTATTTTGCTTGAACAGCTTCAGTATTTTTTTCTGCTTATCTCCTTTCTTCCTTTCCAGGTCATCAGTATGTATGTAAAATATTACACTGTTTAGTGCAGAGTTCATGATTTGAAACACTGCCAATTACACCCCCTCCCCTTTTTGTGTGTGTGGGGGGGAAGAGGTCAACGGACACTTAGTAAAGATCCACATACTCAGAAATAGGTGGCACTACACATGTTTTGTTGTCATAACAATGGCTGTTGGCATATATGGTGTCAAGTATACAGAATTATGTGCATTTAGATGTACACTCAAAGCTCATTATAACAAAATTGCATCTTTTATTCAAATAAGTTTGTTATATCCGAAAATTTGTTATAGAAGTATATTCCTAACACACTAGCTATTACAAAGATTATTCTTCATTTACCTCATTATAACCAATACTTCATTATATCTGGATCTGTTATGTCGTGCTTTGAGCATAGTAGGAAACATTCGCTTACATAGACATAGTAGCACTAGAGGTTTTAGCATATCAACAAATAATATGAAAGTGGCATGAAATGGCAATAGCTGAAACTGAGGGTACGATGTCAAATAATGCTCTGCATAACAAAAAACTTTTGACGTGTCCGAGTTTTTATATGGTGGCACAGTCGACCACAGCAGCTTTCAGCATCCTGAGGTTGAAAACAAAAATGTCGAGAGAAAAAAAAAGTGGACAAAAAACCCCCAGTTATTTGACTTGTGAGCAGGACTTAGTTAAATAAAATATAATGCCATGAACACCAATATTATGCTCATAAAAAAGTTGTACAGTGCCATCAATGAATTTTATGCTTATAGTTAATATGCATTGCTTCTATTGAGATTTGTACACAGCCTTGTTTGATATTCATTAGAAATTATATTTAAGTAGTTCTGGCTTGTGTGACCAAATACAGCCTTTATTGTGGCCGAGATACAAGGAATGTTCTATCCACATTTTCTGCACATATTTGCTACCAATAAATGGACTGTAAAGGGCAACACTTGGCCATATACTGGTTCTTAGCTTAGCCAGACAAATATTGTTTTTGTAGAAAAAAATTCGCATTTGTGCAGCCTAGGGAAAACAGACAGTATTTTGAAAAAGCAAGAAACTCTCCTTCTATCTACTTACAACCTAACAGCAAGACGCATGGTTATACCTATTCCTGATTTTTAATGTCACTAAAAGGGGGACATCTTGAGCACAGGGAATCAAGTGCCAACTTTTGTTTGATATTGCTGTGAATTTTATTGTACATGAATTGTTCTGACAGTTGAATATGATTTTCAGGTCCACCCATGAACTTCCACCGCCAGAGCCCCTTGACCCATGCTTCTTTCCTGCGTCAGGCAGCCCACTCCACGCACACAATTGCACAAGGGCCAGGCAATAGTGCAACTCTGCCAGTTGGCCAGCCTCAAGAGACACCTTCATATCAAGGACCTAGCCAGAATGGTCCACCACCACCACACAACTTGTACACTCCGTCGTCCCAAGCTGATGCTTTCTCGTATGGCCCTTCTTTCACTGCTACCACTCCTGCTTCCTTTGAGCAACCACAGCATACATACATGCCTGACCATGCCCAGCTGCCTGTTTCTCCACCAGATGCTACCTATGTTCCTGTGAGGCCTCACTGGTTTTACAACAAAGAGATTGAGAACAAAGTTGTATGGATACCTTTCTCTCTATTGGACTCAACCAATCTGGAAGAAGCATCTGCAAGGTTGGCTTTTGGTAGTGAAGTTGTGGTGACCACCGACGGTGGAAGGTATGATGTGGATGTTGGTGCACGCTTGCGTCGCCCAGTGTACTGGGACGAAACACCCAGTCAGGTGCGACGTTGTACCTGGTTCTACAAGCTGGAAGGCCAGAACCGCTTTGTGCCCTACGAGGAGCCTGTGGCCTTCATATTGGAAGACCATTACCGAAAGGCTATGGCCACGGGACGCTGGCACCAGAAACTGGAACTGCCTGGGAATCAGACAGTTGTCATGCATAATTCCAGTGTAATGGTGCACTTCCTGCCTTCAAGCCACCCTGACGAGTGGGGCAATGTTAGTGAGGGTCAGACACGGCCTCGAGTTGTAAAAAGAGGCATTGAAGATGTTGACACGATTGAGGAAGGTGAGCCCAGCCATATTGATCACCTGGTCTTCGTAGTGCATGGTGTGGGTTCTGTGTGTGATTTTCGCTTTCGCTCGGTTGAAGAATGCCTTGATGATATTCGGCACATTTCTCTTGGGCTCATCAAGAGTCACTTCAGCATACCCTCACAGGAGGGCAATATTGGGCGCATTGAATTCCTGCCTGTCTCATGGCACTCAACACTGCACAGCGATGCTACAGGCATTGATAGTGCCCTCAAGCACATCACTCTCAGGAGTATCCCGAAGCTGCGCCATTTCACTAATGACACACTTCTCGACATCCTTTTCTACACTAGCCCTGTGTACTGCCAAACTATTGTTGATACTGTCGGCTCGGAGATTAACAGGTTGCACAGCAAGTTCATGGAACGCAACCCTGGTTTCAAAGGCACTATTGCACTAGCAGGCCACAGCCTTGGTTCACTGATTTTATACGACATTTTGTCCCATCAGAGTGACGCGAGCTCCCAGTCAAGCTCCACAGATGTCTTCGTTGATTCTCCTAAGGCTGAACTAACACCATCACCCACATCAACTCATGGTTGTGAAGAGGTATCAGACATCCTGCAAAATGCTGACAAGGATGTCTCTGTAGAATCCGTTTTTCAAGAACTCATGCTTGATGACTACATAGCCAAGATCCACGAGGAGAAGATTGACATAGAAACCTTGGTAAGTTTCCCACATACACTTGCAAAGTTCAAAAATTGTAGCCATGGGCCTTGTAATTTATAGTTGATCAATACTGTGCAATAGTGCAAGCTGTGCAGGCAAGCTTTAAGCATGCATTTCATAGCCACTATTTCACATGAACTTATTACGGGGTCCTACACCGTGTTTGCCTGCTGCAGTGATGGTCATGAAAAGTAATTGAGTGATGTGTGCTTATGGCTTAAGTTTCTGGTCATGCATTGAAGGATGAAACCTTCGATGGCTACAATTGAAATAAAGTGAATGTTACTTTTTTTTGCACTTAAACAGAGAAGACGAAAAAGAGGGGTGGGAGGCTAGTGTCAGCTGAAATTGTTTGGCTCCTAAAACTCACATGTGTAAAAAAATTTATTTCTCGGAATTTAGTGTCCTGTACAGCATTTCGTGATGTTTGTACAAGTGTACACCCACCCATTTTTTAAAACCTGAACGTGCAAGTGCCGACTGTTCAGTTAATAAGCACTATGTAACGATTCATGACAGCGAAATCAACGAGAATGTGCCTGATGAACAACTCTGTGCAGTTGCGAGGCTGTTCTGAGAACAAACAGTAAGTGCCAGGGAGCTGGCGCTTGTTGACACTGTGGTTGATGCTTGCACATTCAGGTTGAAAAAATGGGTGGCTGTACATTGTTTCATGATGCTCTCTGAATTACAAATGGCGCATCACGTATATGGATGCAGTTTTACATACAAATTTTTTGTTCTATACTTGTGAATAAGGGATATGTGACCTATAATTGAGAAAACACTAGTAAACAATTTTCAGGGTCTTATTTGTTTAACCACTCAAAATATTCCAACTTAATTGCAGCACTGCTGCCGACCTAATAGAAGTAGTATATAATGGAAGCTGAAATTTCCTTTGCTATGGTGTTATTTGACAAATAAAAACTTAGCGTATTTTCATTTGTTGGACACATAATTGTACCTGTGATTGTTTATTGTATTGCATCACTAAGGAACAGTCTGAAATTTTTAAAAATATACTGTCAGTATTTTAATTAGAAAAATATTTTGTGGCATTTTTCTACATAATATAGCAGTACAACTGAACTTCATCGTGACTAATTATTAGTTATTGATGTAAATGTCATATTTTGTTGTCATGTTTTGTTGAAGTGGGGTATTCATCTACTTTATACAGGGTGTTTTGTTTTGTAGATAATACAGGGGATAATACAGATGGAACACGAGGTTCGGGCTACCATTCCGAATTTTTCTAAAACTTACTGTGGGCCTGGGCATTAGAGACAAAACAATGCTTTTGAATTCAGTTCTATGAAAAAAACTTTGTTCGTCTGAAAAAAAAAAAAAAAATCTTGGCAGCAACTTCAAAATTCTTGATAGAGTTGGCCCTTGTTGGCAAACCGGCATTTACCTTTCACATTTATGCATTCCTTATCTAATTCGTCCTCTGGGCGCAGTTTTCATGTGCAAGCGGAGCTCATCCTTTGTTGAAGCTGCACTTATGTAATGTGAGTGCCTACAGTACCGAGTGACCGCTTTGGCAAATTTGTCTAGTGCATTATAACAAGACAAATCTTGGTGTACCATGCAACCTGGCTGTGCATTTGTTGTTGTGGAGCTTCTATTTTGTGAATACATTGTGTACTATTGTTTTGAGCAACTTATATTCAATTTTCAGCGCATAACTACTGGTGCGGCCGCAAGGCTCGCTTGCTTGGTCACATGCGAATCATTACAACTTGTTATCAACCTAAATAATGTAACATTTTTATGCAGAATAATAAATGAAATTCTTGGCTTCAATCGGAGCATTTTTTTTAAATAATAAAAATGGCTTTTTTCAAAAAAATGTTTTCAAACTTCGGTATTTTTGGTAAACAACTAATGCTTCATCACAATTATTAGGTAAAATGAAGCATGATAAAACTGCAAAACTTAATTTAAAAAAGTGAAAGTGTTGACTTCAATATGTACCGGGTTTTATTGTCCTCAGGTTAAGTTGTATGTAGCAATATATTTCTGAAATACAGGTATTTTGTGCGGTTTGCTATGTTAGCAATTTTTCTGTTTTAAAGTTTTTTCAACGGATAAAAAAAATAATGGTCTCATAAGATTCTAAATTACTTGTTCTTTGAGGGGAATAAATACTCTGATTAAAGACTACACCGTTTTTTCATGAGGTCCACTCAAAGTTCAGAAATCTCGAAAGTGGCAGAAAAGTTTTTTTTTGCCGCCAAAATTGATTATATATTTTGTTTTTAGGCAAACATTTTTTTTTCATGAAACTAACCTCGTAACTACTGATCTGTCTCTAATGCCCAGGCCCAAGTAAGTTTCTACAAAATTAGGAATGGTGACCCACACCTCGTGTTCAGTCTTACGTGGACACACCCACGGATATCTTATAAAAGACCTGTTGACAACAGTAAGGCTCCTGTTGTTTTCATCCAAACTTTATGTTGAGGTGGAAAAACTTTGTGCTGCTAAAAAAACACCATGACGAATTAACAAGAACTTGTTAGTTAAAATTCTAAGTTATTGTCTTGAGGGCAGTTATTGTAGATGAGAAAGTTGTAGTGCATGAAAATATGTAATGTACCCATTCTTAAGAATTTACAAGCATTGCACATATAATTTGAAGTATTCATAATCGAATTTCAGGGGCAATTGAAACTGATCGCGTCCACCATGAAAAATACGTGTTAGATCAGATATAGAGTTTCCTAAAATTAACTAGAGGGTAGAAACTCTGGCACTTTGATCATTCAGTGGTGATGGGAATGATGGGTAGTACACGGAATTGCCTAATCTTCGTGCTTGCAGGCTTCAAATGCAGTTGTGGCTTCGTTTCTTGCAGTGTTTCGGTTTCGTTTCAAATAAAAAAACAAACTGTCTTGAACTTCATGACCCGATTCAAATTGGTGGGCTTAAAGATTAAGGTGATCAAGCGTAATTGATAAACTATTGCCGATCATTGTTTTGTGACAGAACAGCTTTAAGCCATGGGAAGCCAAACAGAACGAAGTATGCAGAATAGGCAAATCCATGTCATACCCATTATTCTCATGCTTGCTGAAGTTCCATGTGTTGCAGCTCCTGAAGACACTTGTGCCAGAGTTCCTTATGATACATGTATAGGAAGCTCTACAACATCAGACCGGAACTACCCGTGATATCAAATTGATGAAATTTGAGGTGCATTGCGGCAGTATCTTTTCATGAAAAGGGGCAAGTCATCTTGCTTGCTCCTGTGTACAGCCTTAACCCTTGTGTGTGGTCGTCATCATCAGCCTGACTAGGTCCACTGCAGGACAAAGGCCTCTCCCATGTTCCGCCAGTTAACTCGCTCCTGTGCTTTCTGCTGCCATTTTATACCCGCAAACTCCTTAATCTCATCTGCCCACCTAACTTTCTGTCTCCGCCTAACCCGCTTGCCTTCTCTGGGAATCTAGTCGGTTACTCTTAATGACCAGCTGTTATCCAGTCTACGCCCTACATGCCCGGCCCATGTCCGTTTCCTCTTCTTGATTTCAACTATGATATCCTTAACCCCAGTTTGTTCCCTAATGCACTCTGCTGTCTTCTTGTCTCTTAAGGGGAGATGCTACTCGAAAAAGGTTTCTTTTTATTTCATAACCCAGCTCCTTGAAATTTTAGGTGTTAGTAAAGCTTGTAGTGCTGATTTCATAACTGCAATTATTTTTTTGATAGCTATAGTAGTTCCAGAGTTACTACAACTTTGATATCAAAATATAGTGTTTTTTGTGCACATAATAAAGCTTACTAAAAATTTTCACACAGAATTGCAAAATGGCTCATTCTGCTGCACTTGAGCAGTACAATACACAAAAGTACCTCAAACAGAAAATTTATTTGCTACATTAAAAAAAAAATTTAAAGTACTAAATGCATATTTTACATCTCTCTATCAGTGTATCAAGTTGTGTAACAAAAAATCTGTGATGTATAATGCAACCTAAAGTAGATACTCGTATTCTAGAGTGGCTGATTAAGCTCTGTGCAAAATTTCATCAAGATAGGACTATTTTATGCCTAAAAAAGATTGTGCACAAGATGAGAGAATTACCTCAAAATGGAAATCGAGAAAAATGCATTTGAAAGTTGTAAATATGTTTACTCATGATTATACAGTGCGATTTGCACAAAACTTGGTGATATCATAGAAGGGACACAGATAGAGCACCTAAAATTGTCCTGCTCCATATGTGGATCCTTCTCGCCGCTTGAGAAGGGAGTCATCAAGGCGCGCTTTCTTTGCCACGTTCCGCCGATGGGCCCTTGCCTCGGCTGTTTCACACGCAGACATTCTTTCGATTCTCCTCTGGTCGCGGGATTGGCCCAGGGTGATCAGTTACACCAAGCTCCTCTAGCACGTGTTCAAAGCTTGAATGTCCTTTATTGAACCACAACACGGCCATAGCAGCTGCAGTTTCCACTGTTGTCCGGGAGGCAAACTTAGTCTTCGGACACAACAACCAGATTTTGCTGTTCAAAGATTCTGCAGCGTTTTGGATCTTCCCTTGGATACAACGCACCAGCAACTTTTCATCTGTGAGCCGCTTGTAAATGGGAAGCACAGCCAATCCTTGAGCTTTGGTCAAGATTGGTGTGTGGTCGGGTGGGGCCTCCCCAAGCGCTTCGGCTCGCCTATGCTTGCACCAGGAAGTCGCCCCTTCTGGACAGTATCGGTGGCTGCCTGCTGTGTTGCTCGATGATGAATGAAAATATGAGGCCCAGATGGCACGATGCATTTTCAGAATATCACCTCTGTTGTTTGTGATTGCAATACGGTAATAGTTCTGCAGCTTCTGAATTGTGCCATCTGTCAGCTTTTCCCCTCGTGGAAGTCGTGTTGGCAGTTTCCGAAGTGCAGTGCCTAGACGCTTGGCCACATGGTTCGTGCACTCCTCCTTGTCCACAACAGCTTCACCATATACCTTGGCCTCGGCGACAGCGGTATAAGCTTTGCT